AACTCATGTGTAATTACAGAAAGCAGAGCAGTGGTTAGCTGAGGACAGGGAGTAGGGGCGGGAGGGAGGGGTTACGAAGGACCCCGAGAACCTCTGGGAGTGATGGGTGTCTTCAGTTTCTTGATTATAATGGTGGTTTCATGGGTATGTGCCTATGTCAAAATTTAACAAATTGTATACTTTCATTATGTGCAGTTCATTGCATGTCAATTATATCTTAACTATTTCAAAAAATCCTGCATTGAGATACCACTAGATTGGCTAAAACTTAAAAGACCAACAATGCCAGAGTTGCCAGTATGTGGAGCATCTGGAACTCTCCTACATTGTAAGTGGGAATGTGAAATTATGCAACCGTTTTGAAAAAAGTTATGACAGCTTCTTAAAAACTAAATATATATGTATTCTGTGACCCAGCAATTTCACTGCTAGGTATTTATTCAAGTGAAATGAAAGCCTGTGCACATAAAGAAGACTTCAGTGAGAACGTTTACAGCAGCTTCAGTTTCCAACAGCCCAGGTGTCCGTCAATAGGATTGTGACCAATTAAACTCTGGTATATTCTCGTGGTGAAGTATTTCTTGGCCATAGAAGAGAACACATTATTGGTACACACAACAGCATGAAAGAATCTTAAACATTGTGGTGAGTGGAAGAGTCATACTGTGGGATTCCATTTATATGAGATTCTCAAACAGGCAGAACTAATCCAGGGTAGAAAAAAATTAAAATAGTGTTTGCCTCTGGGGTGAGGGGCATGCGGGGACTCTCCAGGGTGACGGGAACCTTTCATTTCCTAACAGGAGCTCTGCTTCCACAGCATGTGTAAAGCGCAAAAGTACACTTTAAACTCTGCATTTCACTGAATGCAAATGTTAAGGCAAAGAAACTGAACAAACACTGAACTCTAGTTAAAAATATGAATGCTGTGTTTGGGGTGAGTTCCCTGATGTCTGCACTTTACTTTGAAATGCAGCACGAAGAGGAAGTGGATTAGCAGATAGTCCTAGGACAGGAAGATAATGTGATAAAGAAAGCGTTAATGATTGAGTGTGACTGTACTTGTGGCTATAAAATTCTGTAGTGAATGTTGGAACACTTTCATGTTGTTAATGAAAAAAAAATCTTGTACCCATGTCCCAAAGTCAGGCTTGTCACAAGAGTGTTCCTTTGTGCCAACATGAAAATGTGTAGCCACTGTGTGCTAAGATCTTACTTTAACCCCTCCGCCCCCGAACTAGAGTCAGTAAATGTCTGTCCCTGATGTGACATCGGCGGGTGGACAGGACCAGCAAGCTCAGCAGTGGAGTCCCTGGCCTCGGTCGTCACGCCCTGGGAGTGCTCCGGTGGGAGTCAGTGCGCGCGCCAGGCTGGGCGGAGGCTGGGGCCAGGGCCGGGAGGTGGAAGCCGTCGGGTTACCTCTCCACGATATTTTGGGATGGGGAGATGAGGGACGATTAGGAAAGTAAAACCCGTGTGCAATGTATTGAAATCGACTATTACTTTACGCTAAATCAGAAACTATAAATGGAGTGTTTCTAATTATAACGAGTTGGAATCAAGGGAAAATAAAACAATCAAATCACGCTGTTCTGAGTCCCACCCTCCTCAGCTCTTTTCCAAGCACTCCACCCAGAGTGACAGCTGACCGCTCATATAAATCACTGCTCTTTCTCTTCTTTGAAACTTACTAATAGAATGCAAACAAAGGGAATTCAAACCTGTTGTTGATTCTGGCTCCAGTGCATTACCGAGTGCACCATTACTTGTGTGAACCATTTTTTCCTAGTTTATATCATTTGTGATCCTGAGTTCTTGGCTTTATATCTGTAAATCATCCCATGAAATAATTTCTAGCATTTACAAACTGTCACAACAGTCCTCAAATTTTCAACTTGCTTCAGTTCTTAAAATAGTAGATACTAAGGAATACAGTCTGCCTAACTAAATGTGTGTGTATAACTTCCAGATAATGGAAAAGGAAAAGCCACACACTATGTAAAACTGAGACAGAAGACGTGAAGACAGTGTTCTTGGGTCTCCCTGCACAGAAAACCCTGTCTGCTTACAGTCATTTTCTCTTGCTAATACCCGAAGCATGTGAGGGAGCTAAGGGGCGAAAGCGGGACAGAAAAGGGAGATCTTCCCTTTCAAAGACTGTGTGCCTAAGGTCACTGCCCGTTCTTCCCCCACCCAGTCTGCTCTTTGAATTTCCCACCCCTGCCCCATGCCTGTGTGTTGCAGCCTTTCCGTAGACTTTTGTGATTAAGAACCATTTAAAATCATTTGAATCTAACATGCTCGTTTCACACATAAAGAAATGGTCTCAGATTGAAGTACAGTTTATTTTTATTGTAGAATGAAGGAATGTTAGACCATCCCTAAATAGTAAGTCCAGAAAGACTTATTCCTCCATTTGTTATCTCTTTAAACACATACTGAGTGCCTTTTTATGCGGGCCGTTCATTAGGCCTTGCAAATAGGTCATTGAATCAGACCATCCCCACACTGGGGAGTCCATAGTCCACTTAGGGAGCCAGATAATACAGCGCGGAATGTTAACTATGCAGTAGTGTGAGAGAACACAGGGTTGTGGGAGTACTTTGAGGAAGCTCCTTTTCTAGCTCTCGGTGGAGGATGGTCAAGGAAGCTTCCTCACTGAGGTGAGTTCTGGCCTGAGCCCTGAAGGACGGTTACCCAGGCAGAGAATCCAGGAAAAGGTGTCCGAGCTGTTACCCAGGCACAGACCCAAAGAAAAGGCGCCTGCGCTGAGAGCAGCATCTATGAAGGTCCTGAGGGACGAGGCCGTGGCGCAAAAACTCCCCGTGTAACCTAGCTCTGTAATCTCACACCACTCCCGAGTGGCACACCTCCTTGGACGTAATAGGTGTTCATACTTTCTCTTTGGGCCCTTCATTACATTTTGCCTTAGGTGGCCGCGCTCACGCTAATAGTCCAGCTCCTCTACTGGACTCTAAGCGCCTTTTAGAGGAATGGCCGAATTGCCACCGCCCGGTGTCCCCTGCAGCCGTGCACCGTGCTTGGCACACAGTGGGTGACCCGCAGATGTTAACGCCCTGCACAGATGTATCTCCTGACACATCCTCGAGGTTCTTCTCTGTCTTCACTCTATAGTCTTGTTTTTTTAAGCTCTTCCCTTCCTAGAATCTTTAAAATCGCCATGGTTTCTTTATAGCTCTCACTGGTTCATGGGCTGTCTCCCTGGCAGGAGAGCTCCTCATCCGGAATTTGCACTAATCTAGTTTGAAAAAGCTTGTATCTGTTGGGTATGTTGATACACATATTGATGCATGTGCTTTAAAAAATGGTGTAATGTGATTTTTGGTCTGTAATTAAGTGACTTTAATTTGATTTGAATTAACTCTCTTGGTTCCAGCAAGGCCACATGCCCCCTTGATTCCCCGCTCCCTCCAAATAAACTTGGTGGGATGGGAGGGGAGCGGGTACAGGGGGTGATGTCAGTGTTTGAGGCCTTATACCAGTCATTGTAGTGTAGCCAAAACAGAACAGTGACCCAGGCCACAAAAGTCATTATAAAACAGGCCTCACCTTCATTCTTTCCTCATCAGAATGTATGGTTCTGTCTGTACCTTATCAAACTATTTCTCTGTGACTGTCTGCTAGGGAAATGATAGGGATGCATGTAAGTGACTGAACTACCAGGAAGCAGGAATAAGTGCCGTACATGAGCTGTAAACATAAGGTTATGTGAATTCATTAGAGGGGACAGTGTGTGTAGAGCTGGAAGGGAGAACTAACGATGAGGATGCGTCTCTCCTGAGTCTGCAAGTTTGGATGGGATTCTGATGCAGATGAGTGCCATGTTGTCTGTTATTTCAGGAGCCTTTTCTTACAAGTGGGCATGAAAAAGGTACGTCCCATGGGCGGGTGGAATGTGTGAGTGTTTGGAACAACCACTGAAGAACGCGATCGGGTGTCAGAAATTAGCGGAGTAAGTGACGTCGTGGCAGGTGCCCGAAGTGGCACGGATTCGTAATGTGCCCAGGTGTGCGTTTGGAGCACGCTGTGCCAGTGCCCTGAGAACTCGTGTGCGTAACCTTCATATAAATACAAGGTGTAGACTTACATATAACAAGACTGCTCATGTTAACATGCGTCTGATTCATGCCTAGAGGGTACCCTCTTCTCTACCTTCTTCTCTGTTCCACATGTATAAATGCAAATGTACATTTATAAAAATAAAGGGGGCGTTATAGCAACAAAGTTGTGCCCACCTCACAGAACTGTTGTATAAACTCTTGGTAAACCTCCAGTTACGATCGCCAGTTTGGGTAGATGAATAATAATTTGTAAGCTCTAGCTGTTACTTAGTGTGTGTTAGCACTGTTGAGAATTGTCGAGAATTTCTTCCAACGAGCGAGCGCTGCAGGCTGGCTTGCACCAGGGGCGCATGCTGTGCAGCCAAGTGAGCAGAGGTGGCGCCACGTCCACAGAGACTCACTTTGACGAAGAGACTGAGAGCTGGCGGCTGAAGAGGAAATGCCCTAAATACGGACGGAAATGTCCTTCCCAGCCTCATGTGAAAAAATGAGAAGAGTTGGTGAGACTGGAGATAGGACCACTTTCGGGGTCCCCGAGCATCCGTCCTCCTGCCCGGCGTGCTGTGGTGTGGCCGCACGACGCCTGGTGCGACGTGTCACCGTGTGCGGCCCGTGTGGGAGCATGGGGTGCCCAGTGGGGACAGAGCGCCATGAAATGGAGTGCCTCACCACATTCCCTAGTGACCGTTACTCTAGTGCGTTTCTTTTTTGTAATGCTGGCCGTAATCGACTAAACTAATTGCACAATTCGCTGGTGGACAACACCCTGCCCTTTGAAAAACACTGCTTATTACAAGATGTTTCTGGCATGGACTTCAATTTTGAAATACAGCTTTTATCTATTATCAGTTCTCAAAATCATGTTTGTATTTCTACCTCAGGCCACTGGCTTACATTATTTTCTCTTCTGTTCATCAGGTATCAACATGGTTTTTTACCACCTTTTCTGTCTCAGGACTGAAGGACAAAATCCACCATGTGGACAGCCTCCACCAGCTATTTTCTGCCATCTCACCTGAACAAATTGACTTTCCTCCTTTTGTCCTTGAATACGATGCCAGGGTGAGTACCAGGAGTTCTCCCTGCCCTGCCGTAGGGTCCTAACCAGTCTGCAGAGCAGCACTTAGCAGTACCACGTCCTGTAATAAGATGACACTCATGCAATTAGTGTGTTTTAGTGAGCTTGATTGTATCATTTAACATTCTTTTTCTACAATAACTTTAGGAAAAGACTTTATCCTAAAAGAGGGCTTTTTCAGCAGTAAACTTTTCAATGGCAGGTTTTTCTGCCTGCCACAGCTTTTAAGACAGTCCTTGCTTGTATTGTGAGTTATCGACCACCTTTCAAACAGTACCTCTGCCTGATCTTCTTAAGATTGAATGGCTTTTCATCTACGTAAAGAGAACCAGAAGAATCTACTGGTGTCCGTTTTCAGTATTAATTGTAAACCAAGTAGCCTATCTTAGTAGGCTACTACTAAAAGTTTCGTGTGGCTAAAAGTTTGTATAATGTTTTTAAGAGTATCCACCGACAATTAGTATTATTACTTATAGATGCTTTTATGAGTCTATTATTTAAACACTAGTGAAGGGCTACTCTTGAATTTCGTCATTGCTCTGTTCCACTGTGTTTATTCACCCTATCACTTCAGTAGTTAAAACAAAACAAAAAAAGGAAGTAACATGCTTGGCCAAGAGACCATCAGTCTTCTTATTCAGTTATTGCTGATTACATATATTTACACAAGAATCAGGAAATATATCTGAAGGTTATATTAACTTTGAAATAAATTATTCTTCCCTAATTATCATACAACATGAATATAGTAAAATAAATATCCTACAACACATTTTCTCTCTAATTTCTTAACTTCAGCTGTGATTTCTGTTCTCTTATGTGAGAACAAAGAATTTCGTTTGTTCCGATGGCACATCAGACCTCATGTCTGGCTTCTCTCAGGGAGGGCTGGAGTGGGAGCAGCCGGGTCCCAGACACACAGGCTGTTGAGTCTGCGGGAGGAAAGGGTCGGTTTGTATTGAGTGCGGGTCGCTGCAGCAGAAAGTGGCCTTGCTGTTGCTCTTTTGGACTGCGTACATCACTTAATGTTTCAGAAAACGGATAGCAGGAAGTGTGAAGGGCACAAAAAGACATTTTGATACCAGAATTTGACATGACAATTCAAAGCTAGTATCTGGATTTATAATTCATTTTCTGGGGTAGAAATGTACAAGTTGGATTGTATTAGAAAGCCCAAAGGATTGTTTTTCTAAGTACATATCTATATACTTAGGAACCCAGAAAGCAGGATTTCATTAAATGTTAACACGCAATTAAGGTTGGTTTTGCTCTTCTGTTTTGTTTGTGTATGTATTTTAGGCTTTTGTTATATGCTGTATCAAATGCTGGCCTAATTAATATGATTAATCAAAATTAAATACAATAACCTATAAAGCATCTAACCCTTGGGCCATCACATCATCTCTCTGCTCCTGTACTAGCGCTTCCTAAAGTTGAGATATTAGACCCTCGATGTGTAAAGGCCAAAGAGAGGAACGCAAAGGGGGGAGGCACAGAAGACAGTGTCAGGAGGGGACCCAGAGAGGGCGGCAGGGGGCAGATCCTCGGGCTGGAGCTTTACGTGCGGTGCCGCTGCACAGCCGACCCTGAACAGCACGAGGGCGGGGCACCTGCCCACGCCTGCCGGCCACCTCACACTGCCGAAAGTCACGGGTAACTTTCGACCCCTCAGATAAGAGCCTACCGTTTACTGAAAGTCTTACTGATAACATAAACAGTCAATAAACGTATTTTGTATATGTATTATATACTGTATTCTTATAATAAAGTAAGCTAAAGAAAAGGAAATGTTACTAAGAAAATCATAAGAAAGAGAAAATACATTTATAGTACAGTATGACACCATAAGTTTACATTGTCTGTTTATGAGGAATTGATAAATTATTTCTCTGTCAATGCCTGCATCAATATTGTCTTATAGGATACAAAACACTGTAGAGGTTATGTGTGTTACTAATACTAGGTATCAAAAATGAAATGATAATGTGAAAAAGAAATTCACATTTATGTGCAGGTGTAACGATTCATGTATTGATAATGAACCAACAGCACTATTTTTGCTTTCTGGTAGATTAGTGTAGTCAATACCTGCTTTACAGTAGCCTAGCATATATACAAGTGAGTGAATTGTTATAAAATTTTTATGGTGTACAGTATTACAGTCATAGTCATCATGTGTGTTGGAAACCTTGTTACATTTTTAAAACCTGTGATGTTGATTCATGCACAGTTTCTCCAATTAAGAAAGAGGGGTGTATTGTATGGCAATATAATTCCTTGAAAGTAAAGTTATAAAGCAGTAAGAAAACTAACACAATTTTATATTAAATATCACTCACCATATGCCTGTGTAAATATAGGTTATTCACTTCCTTACGAGCCTTGCAAACAATGTTCTACATGACAAATACTCAGGCGATGATGGTGGCAAAGACACGGAACATCTCATACAGCTCTTGCCATGCAGTAAATAGATTTTCACACGAAGATACACAAACACAACAGATAAATTTATTAACTGTACGCCGTGAAGATTATTTACTATTCACTACATGGAAGTGGACCACAATACAGGTCTTCACCCTCATTCTCACGCCCAGTGGGCAGAGGGGGAGGAGGAGAGTTGGTCGCGCCCTCTCTCTCCGGTAGCAGAGACAGAAGAGGCGGAGGAGACGGAGGTGGACGGGGAGGCAAGAGAAGCAGGCACAACCAGTGTAACTGTGGAAATACACGTATGTCGTAATTTCTGCCTTTTTTCTTCTTCATTTCTCTGAAAGCTTTTCTCCATGGTACCAATCCCTCTGCCACTGCTTGCTTCAGTCTCAGCGCTGGTGGCCCTAGAAGGGCCTGTGTTGTAAGAGGTCAAACATAGTCTGGACTAGCCAGGACCCTTCGGCTGGCCGGGTTGGCTGACGTCAGTTTGCTCTCTGACGTTGCTTCCTCTGCGTCTGCTTCTTCCTCGTCTGGCACCGGTTCGGAAGCACCCACCTCCTTCAAGTCGTCTTCTGTTAGTTTCCCTGGTATGAAGTCTGTCCGCCCTTCAGTTTCTCCAAGCCCCTGTCTTGAAGCCTTCCGCCCCAAACCCCGCCCTTTTGCCACACCCACAATCGCCGTCACTTGATTGGCTCTGTTGGAAGTCTGTGACGTCACGCATCTGGACGCAGTTTTCTGCAGCAGCAACGTATTGTTTCGGGCTTGAAGGCTCTCCCGACTTTCTCAGTAACAACTGCATCTTCTTTCGTGGCCTAATCCTTCCAGACTTGGACAGTGTTCCCTCTCCCAGGGTTCTCTTCCAGGCTGCTGACAGCCCTCTCCGTAGAGCATGGTGCGTGTGGACCTTAAAGGTCCCTACGACCCCCTGGTCTGGAGCCCGCCGTAGACTTGGTGTGTTTGGGAGCAAGCCGACCACTGGACACCTCCGGTGTTGAACTCATGGATTCTGGGTGGCCAGGGGCACTGTCCAGTGTCGGAACTTGCAAAGGCAGTTCTGGCAAGGCACTGCTTTCAGGGGGAAAGCATCGATGGAACCAGCCCAGAAAACAGGCTCTCCTCGTCCAGGCCCCCTTTGTGTGCGGCCCAGAGGCTGGCCCCTGTGTTTGCCTCCTCCCTTCCAGGCGCCGGGGTCAGCAGTCCTGTCGACGAGGGCAGTCCCGAGCTGTACAGGGCAGTGGAGTTGGCCTGCCCTCCCGCCTTCGGTGCTGGTGCGCGAGTGCCTCCACCACTGTCGCAGGTCCTCTGTGGCGTTTTGTCCAAAACAGGGCTACTCGTGTCTGCACTAAAACCTGTTCAGGAAGACACCTTTCCTCCTCAGTGGTTTTATGAATGGTGTCTGGGAACTTGTTTGCTGCCTCTCTGTCTGTAGAAGCTGCTTCTCCTGTTATTTTGACATTTTTTAGGCCAAACCATTTTCTAAAATTATCCAGTCATCCTTTGCTGGCATTGAATTCCCCAGCTTTAGATCCTTCACCTTCCTTATGCTTCGTCATACGATGACTAAGCTTTTTCTTCAATCGTACTAGAATCAATAGGTATGACTTTCTTACAGCAGTCCTGCAGCAAAAGCTGCACTTTCAGTGGGAGGGGAAAATGTGTGTTTCACAAAACCTGTAAGGCTTTACACCTGCTGGTGTACCTGCAGAGACAGCTTCGCAAGTTTGCTTTTCCTGTTTCACAGTGGCCTTCACACTGCATTCATTTATTTGGGGAATGGCGGGCAGCCACCACGGCGGACCTTGGTCTGTGGTCCACACCAAGCCCTCCAGCTCTTTCTCGGAATGGCGTGGCTTTGCTTCTTGGGCGCACTGCCAGCGTCAGTAGTGGCGCTTTGTACGGTGTCATTCAAGGTCTACAGCATGGCGCTAAACGTGAAACATACACAAGAGCCGTGCGAGTTCACCGTTTGCTGCAGTACTCGGCCTCCTGGAGAGACGGGCCACTCGCACGGGGATGATGGGAGGCAACGGGGTCGGACGGGGTGCTAGGCAGGTGCTTGCTACACTTGAACTCCCCACAATGGCAACAGGAGGTGGTTATGAAATTATTACGGTAGAACGGTAACAATTATTACATTATTACTATGTAATTTTATGTAGTAATGATTTAACACTGCACCTTCGCATTTGTTTACATTTCTCTCAAGTGGGGCCATGGGCTATTAGTGTTTGTGTGCATAAGTTTTGATAAGTTGTAACTTTATAATAGATTTGTGTGTATTTTATGGTAACAAGTGATAAAAATAGACTTAGTATGTATATGCATTTGTGATATACCTAACTTTTTAATTTTTAAAATATTTCTAAGCTACCTGATTTGTCTGCAAGTGTTTCCAAATTGTTGTAAATCTGCCCCCCAAAATTTTTTAATCTGTATATAAGCACACCCACGCAGGTCAAACCCCTGTTGTTGAAAAGTCAGCAGAACTTTGGCTTTGCAGTCGGTGGGGAACATTCTGCAGGGGAGAGCCACTGCTATGTTCCTGTTAAGAATGATGGCTGAAGAAACAGCACAGAACGACGGGTGGGGGGCGTGGATAAGACTGCAGACAGGGGAGGTGGGTGAGAAGCGATAAGAGAATGCCGGAGGAGAAGTGAGGCTAGGTGAGGGCAGCGGTAATGATCACGGCAAGGATTTGAAGATTTTAGAGATGTTTAGAACTAGGCATTTTAGGAAGTAAAACCCACAGCATTTGGGAGCTGAGGAGCCACTGGGGGGCAGGGGGCAGTGAAGAAGGGACAGTATCTGCAGGGCCTGTCAAAGTTTCTGCTGTGGGAGGTTGGTGGGTAGAGCTCTCAGCAGCCCAGAAGGGCAGTTGGGAGGGGGTGGGGCACGTGGAGGGGGGAGACAGCCGTGTGTTCGGTCCGTGACATGCTGGGTCTGCGGTGCCCGTGCGGCACTGAGGTGGAGGACCAGGGGGTGGGTGGTCAGGTGGTGCCTTATAAGGAAACTTTTTCCTTTGCAAGGAAGAAACAAATGATTAGGGAGAAGGAGGTAGGTACAGTGTTCGTTAATTTTATTATCATGTCCAATTATGCCTTGCACATAGTATGTTCTTTATTTGGTGAAGACATGATGCAGTGTTGGCTGTTGGCCAGTTTCACTGGGCTTCCTTCTCTTTGTCTGGGTCTCATGTGACTTAGAATAGTGACATGTTTTATGGGATTAGAAGAAACTTTTGAGGGTAATTAGAAGGTAAATTTTTATTTATCCACATCACAGTGGTACTGAGACCATTTCAGAAAGGAGCCACGAGTCAGCAGTCTCAGGGATACAGTCAAAGGAGGGAGCGCAAAAATCTGTCTGGTCACATTCTTCACATTTCTATTATTGTTTCCAGAAGTAGAGAAAATATTTGACTGCTTAGCAGTCTCTTTGTACAATTCGAGACTAATATAAAAAGCTCTATTTCGTACCCTTCAGATGGCTTCGCCTCTCTTACTTTATTACAGTTCAGTGTGGATATGAGGAACCTCGACAAATACGGTAGTGGGTGGACTGGAGAAATCTTCAAGATGGATAGTGAACCATTTCTTTTTAGATGAACTTCAAAATAGAGTTTTCTCTTCAGCGTGTTTCTTAAGCATACTTAGGTTACAGGGGTGGTAAGTACAACAGATCTGGATAGGAAATTCTAAAATACAAAAAAAAGTTTTCATTAATTTTTTTTTCAAGTATTCTGGAATGTAGCCAATCCTAGGAACTTTTTAATTTAATTTTTAATTTTTAAAAATACATTTGTTGATTCCTGGTCCGATTTAGTAGGAGAACATGAAGTTTTCCTAGAGAGCCTCTTGTTTCCTGGTTATGGACCCGGGACAAAGTCCTGCTCCAGGGCATCTGCTCTTACGAAGCTTTTGACACACGGTCAGTCACTGAGCACTTCACTGCCCACGGCGGTCAGGGCTGGGTAGGCGTGATGCTCCTCGTAACCGGCGTGGAAATGCGCCATAGAGCAGTGCCATTGTAACCCCGTCTCCCATTCTCCATTCCTGAGGACCGTCTCACATCAACGCCACACGTGTTCTGTGTAAGGTTCACTGAAAAGTGGGTTATTTGTCAAAGAAAGGCTTTCCTTAAAAAACGAGAAATGAATCTTCAGTCTCAGAAGTATAATCTAGGGTCCGTCTACCGTAGAGTTACTGCTTCAGTTTTTATGAAGATACAGTTAGCCAAAATGAGGTCAAGAATCTTCCCTGATGCTGATCAGCGCTCTCTGCACTTGGCATTAAAGTGCTGGCATTTATAGTCGGTGACTCGCCCTCTTGGTCATGAACTGAATGCCCTGAGGACCGTGACTATTACAAGCCTTGACACTCAGGCATGTTACGGAGAAGACTCATTTCTGTCACAGTTATTAAACTCCTGAGTGGTCATTCGGTTTATTGGGTAACTCTGTATTACCAAGATTCAGCACACAGGAGGATAATTCAGTCTAACAAAAATGAATCTGGGCGTCATAGTCAGATAGCTGTGGATTTAAACGCAGGCTCTTCTGGTGACCTGAGGTGAGGTACACCACCTGTGTGAGCCTCAGTTTCCTCTTCTGTAAAACGAGAGTGTCACCTGCTTCATGGCACTCTTTGAGGACATAAAGGAGTAAGGAAAGAAAAACACTGATTAGGTTTCCAGCATGCAGATGACTCAGTAAGTGGTACTGCAATCAGACAATGATGCCCTGACCTGGCTGCCTGTGGCACTCCGTCTCCGACTGGTCCAGGGGAGCTGCCCCGGCCCGCGCCAGACGCTCTTCATACGCTGTGTCGCCGACCGACCGTAAGCCCTTTCTCTCACGTTCCTGTCAGAGCGAACCTGTGACTCAGTGTGCTTGTCTTCTTTCCTTCCCACAGGAAAACGGGCCTTACTATACGTCGTATCCCCCATCACCGGATTTGTGACCGGCCACCTCTCAGTGCTGCTGGTTCCCGAGGACATCACTGTCTCCTGGACCTCTGCCTGCTGAAGTGACACTCATTTCTGCTGGACACGCCCAGAGAGCCTTTTGTCCCCACCTCTCTGGTATTTTTTTATTGACCGTATATTTTTCGGCACACAAGCAATCTGAAGACGGTAGACCATTCTGAATTGCACACTTATTTTCAATTTGTATATTTGTATCAAATGAAGATGCTCATTTTTAGAGGGTTGTTAATAGAAATTGGGGGGCAGCTTTTGAGTCTCTCCGGTTTCCTGCGAGGACCCTGGGTTCTCCATTAGACACGCCACCAGTCCTGTTCCCGTCGTCTCTCGCCGCTGCACGCCGCCTCTGTGCACTTGAGTGTCTCTCCAAATACATGAAACCCATGTACGCCGACTGCGTGCGTTGTCGCCTCCAGTCCTGGCGTTGCGTTTCATACAGGTAATGTGGCTGTGATCAGAGAGCAGTGTCGGGGACCAAGGATGTGGAAATGTATCTTATCAGAAGCATCAAAATCGTTAGCAGAGTATAGGTCTTAGAATTTCACTGTACCATTAAGATAGAGTTTTAAGAACTGAAGTTCCTTGGAGCATATGATTGTTAAGATTATTCTGGTCTCAACAGTGGGAGAAACAGGAAGACAGTGGGCATCTCCAGCCTCTTGGCTGCACTCGTGGGGGATGTGGTCTCCTCACTCGAAGGACTGTGTGTGTGAGCGCCCTGAGTGCGGGCATCTCCTGCCACTCGATCGGGGAGCCTTGGGCGAGTAAGCCCCCTCCCAGAGCCCTGGACGGCCCTGTTGGGCTGCAGAGCTGCCCCCTCGACAGACGTGTCCTGCTTGCCTACGTCAGTGAAGAAAATGCTAGACCGCTTGTGTCCCTCAGGCTCTGTTTGTGCCTTGGCTGGTGTGCAAACAAAACAGGATTACGCCCCCTGCCTCACCGAAGTGTCACGAGGATAGCATTTAGAAAGGGCATGCAGTGCCTGGGTGAGGAGGCCAGGGGAGTTTCTGCGGTGGGCTGTCTTCGGTCAGCCTTCTCAGTGATAACAGCTGTGCTTGAGGGAGTGCTCCGAGCCACTCCTCCTGTCCTTAGCACCTTTGGAGTGATTTTCTTCCTCTTGGGACAAGAGTTCGAGCGAAATCTCGATCTCGGGGACCTCCTCCCCGCTTTGTCCAGAATTCCTTCTGGCCTCCTCCTCCCCCAGCGCTACACTTTAACAAGAGGCATCTGTTCACCGTTGCAAGCATTTCTTCTTGAATTAAGGTCAAACCATTATCATTTCCATCTGGGTGTCTTCATGTTCCTTTTCATTCTATACCCGGCCATCTCCTTCACCGCAGCGTGTACACGGGCATTTTGGAGAAGGAAAGGTAGAAGTCTTCTGTTCAGCGCGCTCAGGATTGCTGCTTCCAAGGCTCCCATTCCCTGTGCCCGCATTGCTTCTTCAGTGGAAGTAAAAGAAACATACTCCTCCTCACTTCCGGTAGAGAAGTCCCCTACAGTTGCGTCATCTGCCTCCTGTGTTTTCCCACGTAAACAAGAAGGGGCTTCACGTTACTCAGATGAGCGCTCTTCCGCACGTAATGGACACAGTTTCCTCCTGCAGGAAGTAGAAACCCCTTGTTCTTGCATGCTTGCTTGTCAAGGACTCCTGGCGGCTCAGGTCCTGGGGTCCAGTGGGCCAGTCCTCCCATACAGTCTTTCTTTAGCCCCTGGAGCCCCGACCCTGAAAGATCTGAAAAGCCAGCTTCATCTTCTGCAGCCAGTTGGTAGGTCATGTTTGAGGCACCTTTTCCCTAGGAGCAGTTACAAAAATATGCCACCTTTGCTTTGTTAGAACTGGACGTGGCTACCTCTCAGGGGCTCCTGGCCTGAATCATGTCCTCTGTAGATAACAGAGGCTACAGGCCACTTCGCCATTTGAAAGGAAGCAAATTTGTATGAACCGTTTCTTCTAGGCAATAATTTTGCAAGGATGTTCCCTTTGCTGTATGTAGAGCAATATCTTACTGTTCAGCGGCACAGCAGGAGTCCACGTACATGGAGATTCTAGTTCAGTTGCTGTCCCAGGGCATACAGGTGGCATAGGGCTACATACATACACATCTGCCACATTTCACAATTCAGTGGAGACGAAAGATAAGGGCTGCTCTTCTCACTGAGACGAAACCCAGTATGGAACCAAGTTCACGCTCTTAGAGCCGTCTGGAGTGGGACACGATGAAGCTTCTTGGTGAGCTCACGTCCCAGGAGTGGGACGGGGCGGCCTCAATGTGGACGTGATTAACGCTCAGTGTCCTGCTGCCTCTGTCGCACTGCCGGGTCACCTGCGCAGCACACACCATGTGCGGGGCCACGGCAGAGGGCGGAGGGGTGGCTGGGTGGGGGCCCCGCCGGCATCTGGTGTTCATCAGAGCACCGCCAGGCCCTTAATTCAGTTAGCCTTCCCTCGTGCCCAGTGCTGCTGGAACCGAGGAGGAGACCACTTACAAAATATTAGGTTATTTCATTAAGTCACGCGAGGCAGAATAGGGTTTCTGAAACAAGCACATTCCCTACTTCAGCGTATATCCGGATTCTTCGGGTCGTCTGTGTCCAGGTTTCCTGGCGGCAACCAGAACCTCTTGGAAAAAGCTTAGTCTTTATTAGACTCTTAAGGTTTCAAGGCCAAAGAGGTTCGTTCACATTTTAAAGATTTTCTTTAATATATATCATTTCATTGGCTGGTGCTCTTTTTAAGGATACTCCATCTCTAGTAGTTTGAGAGTAATCAAGATTTTCAGGATATTTTTGGTAAGAAAAAATGGAGGTAGGTTTTTTATAAAATATCTAAAATCAAAAGGATTAAAATATCTCCTGTTTGTAGAGTTGGATGAGTATAATCACTTTAGTAGAAAAATGGTTAGTCTATTTCTACCTGTTTTCTATTCGTTCAGATATTGTTTAATGAATTAAAACTGTAGGTAATGGTTTAAACTTTTCTTTGCAGCAGTTAATAGGAAAGCGATAAAGTGTAGTTTCAGTGCTAGCTAAAAACTACTTTTTTCTGTTTCCCTTGATACATTGTTTGTGTATGTATGTATATAGAGTTTAAATTGCTTAATATATGAACAGAAATTATTAGAATTTGAAGTTGCCCTGGTTGGTGTGGCTCAGTGGATTGAGTGCCGGCCTTTGAACCAAAGGGTCGCTGGTTCAATTCCTAGTCAGGGCACATGCCTGGGTTGCAGTCCAGGTCCCCAGTAGGGGGCACCTGAGAGGCAACCACACGTTGATGTTTCTCTCCCTCTTTCCTTCCCTTCCTCCCTCCCTTCACCTCTCTCTAAAAATAATAAATAAATCTTTTTAAAAAGTAGAATTTGAAGTAGTAGAAAGAGAATTGTGTGGTTCTAGGAGCAGTGGAGTGATTGTATGACAGACCAAAAGGATAACAAGAGCACATCTAAAACTCTAAAGCGAGTGCTGGCCAGTGAGTTTCAGATTGTGCTTCTCTTAAGTCATCGTCGTCACAATTAACATGCATGAGAGGTTTTTTTTTTTTTTAGCTGCACTGACAATTTTGTTACATGCCTCAGGGTATGTGATTGATTCTTGGCTTGTGATTGGCTGAGACCAGGAAGGATAAAAGAGGGTTCTGCCTGTAATCTAGGTCATATCAAAAAATAAATAAACTCAAATTGTAAGGACTGCCTAGTAGGCCTAACCACACACACACACACACACACACGTGTATATTATACATACACACAAAATAATCTGCTTTGCTTTACATTCTTTGAATGTGATTTTCTATGGCCCAGATGTGGAGAAAATAGAGCAATAAATTTTTGATTCTACCAAAATTGCCGTTTGATAGTATCAAGGTCATTGTAGATATTAGTGGCTCTCTTGGATATTAGTTAACTTTGTTTTCTGTTTCCAAGAACAGTACCTTTGAATCTTAAGTACAGCATGCCTTAAATGTACAGAACTACCAAATTCAAGAAGAAAACATATATATTCTGTAGGTGAACTACACTAACAAAATCATAGCTGCTGAATGTGAGCTAATATTTTTGTTTAACAATTAAAACGAATACATTTTATATACACAGGCACACATTTTAAAATGTGTTTCACCCTGACCAGTGTGGCTCAGTTGGTTGGAGCATCGTCCCATAAACTGAGAGGTCGTGGGTTTAATTCCCAGTCAGGGCACATGCCTAGGTTGCGAGTTGGCCCCTGGTCGGGCCACGTGCAAGAATCAGCCGATGGATGTTTCTCTCTCACATCACTGATTTTCTCCCTCTCTCTCCCTTCTCCTCTCTCTAACATCAAAAAGCATGACCTCAGGTCATGGTTAATATGTTTCATTAGTGCAAGCACGCGGTCATCGTACACTGATCCAGGAGTTAGTCAGGCCAGATCACGTGGGCCAAAACATTTTAAGAGCTTAATGTACGTGAGAGATTGTGATTGTTCTTGGGCATAGGAGACCAAAAAGTGTTTCGATGCACATGATCTTAAGATTTATTTATCCAAAATTCAGAAAGCTTTTGTGAATATTTTTTATTTAAAAATACACATTAGTCTTTCTGAGTTGAAAGTTAGATCCCTTTTCAAGAGGTTCCCACTCTGCAAACACAGCCTATGAAGAACCAGTGTTAAACCGATCATGTTTGTGTGGAATTCCAGAGGGCAGTCCTTGGCCATGTGTGTCTGGCATTTCTCTAATCACCAGAATCAACCAGCAGAATAGTGCATATGCTGCAAATTTTACCATCAGCCTCCTCTTTGGAGATCTAAAGTAGGGCTTCTCCTACCTTAGTGTGCATATATTACGTCAGCTGGGGATATATGGACATGCAGCTTCTGATACAGTAGGTCTTCGAGGCGAGCCTGGATTCCAACAAGCTCTTGCATGGCATTTATGCCACTGCTCCCAAGACCACACTTAGTGTGAAAGCTCCTAGACCGTGTTGAGCTGCCTTACTTTCCCTGTTTTGAGGCGGAGACCAAACTGTCATTGTAATTCCTTCCATGGGCTGGTACTCACGTGCTGATTATCTCATGTCGTCCTCCCGCAAACCCTGCGCGGTGGGTGGTGGCAGGGGTTGTGTGACCTACTGGAGCCCGCACACGCAGCCAGTACAGTAGAGAGCCGTGTTTCTCAAATGGAATATGGAAACATCCCCTCAGCTCCTCGGTTTTTATTTTACTTATTACAATGTTACCTAAGTGTATATGAACATAAAGCTGCATAGCT